CCAGTGCTGGGTCACTGAGTTTAAATCGCTCAGCTCTAGAGATGCGCCACGAGCCAAGAAGAAATGCACGAATCAGTGGGTTTCCCTGCTTGAAGTGTATGTATGGGGGAGGCTAGTTATGCCATGCTTGGGCCCCACAGATAAGCCTTCCTCAGCAGAGGGAGTGGGCAGGGACTGGAGGTGAGGGGCGGGCTTATACATGTTTCCCTTGAGGGGGAAGCATCTCCTGTGCCATCTCGTGTGTGAAGCAACTGCACTAGAGAAACTACATGGTGTTTTGGTCCATTTAAAGCTGGATTTATCCAAATGCCCCCAAAAAGTAACTGAGCCAGAGAATTAAGCCTATTTCTTCCCATCAGAAATAAACCATATGCGTTGTGAATACACTTCCGAGCAGGGAGTCAGGCTTCAGAAGAGATTTAGTGTACAAGGGACATGGGAGTAACACCAGTGTATTGCCTCTGAAATTGACTAGTGCTCTGAATACACTTCAAAGGGGTCTAGAGTTGCAGGCCTTCCTGCTCAAGAGATTGCCTTAAGGTAAATGTTTGAGCTTCACTTCCAGCAGAATAGAGGGAGTATAAAGCAGGCACTGGGGGAATCCTTCTAGTGGAGGGCCAGAGCAGAGCTGGATTACATGGCCCTGTGCTATTCCTGCCCCTCACTCTCCAGTGTAGGGGCAGGCTGGGGGTACAAGGGAAGCAGATGGAGTACTCTGGAGATTCTAGGCTGTGGAGCAGCCATGGGGCTGCTCTAACTTACATGGGGGACCAGGGCAGCCCATGGTTTAAAGCCACTTTTGTCCCCTCTTTCCTGGGCTGCACTTTGTGGGAGTCTCAGTCCAGATTCTGGCCATTGCATCCAGTGATACCCACTGAAATGAAAGCTCATCTGTCTGCACGCGCCTGCCGTGACACTTGCTTTTCTCTCCTGTGCTCATTAGGCTTGTTATATCCGTGGCCTGAACTCCACCCACCTCAGCCCATCCGAGTGCCAAAAATGGCTGAAGCAATGGGTGCAGCTCTCCTGTGAGCTGAAAGGTAAGACTGGTAGAGCGCAGGCAGCTGCCTTCCTTTGGCTGGTTGTCTGTCTTGTGTGCGGTGCAGATCCCGTAGGGCTGACCTCAGGCAACGCACCCGAGAGCGTGAAAATCAAAGCTGCAGTTCCGTGTCACACAGGCTTATACACTTCAAAACAAATGGAGATTCGGGGCTTTCTGAATGGCAGCCCTACAGGTGCCCACAATAGGGTGGGGTGGGCATAATGGGTCCAAACCTCAGCTCTGAATTCCTAGGTTCCCTGCAGCCACAGGTTCACATTCCGCATTTGGAGGTGGATAAGCTGAGTTCTGAGCCAGTTACTTCTAGGTGAGACCTTGAACCGAGTTCTGGCTGGTCTGTTTGGGTCTTGAGCACGGGGTCCTTCCGTAAGGTTATGGTCTTGGGACCCCAGTGAAATCCTTGGGCTTGAGAGAGAGTTCACGCTGCAGGACCCTCCGAGGCAGATCGTAGTATTGCAATCCTGGCAGCGTTGAGTGCAGGTACATGGGGAAGAGGAACAGACGTTCAAAGAAGAGTTTCTCAGTATATGAAGAGACATAAACATTCAGACAGCTTCAGCTGGGTCAGGCCAGTGCATTAGCTGCAGCTTCTGGGGGTATTTGGCCGTGATGTGTGCTAGGGAGGTTGAGCGGCGATGGAGCACGTGGCCGAAAGCACTGCAGTCTCTAACCTAAAAACCCGGCAGTCTAAATAGAGTATGTTCTGAGGCTGTCTCCCTGGGGGAACTGCATCCCCCACTGTTAATGGGTTAGGCTCAGCCCACTTGGTACAGCTTCTAACCTCTCACTTTCTCTTCTCACAACTAGCTGGAGAGGAGCTGGCCTCTGCCCTGGCTTCCAAGAGCGAGATTGATATTTCCCCTCCCCCATGCCTGCCCCAAATGTCACTGGTGGCTTTAGTTAAAATACTAAATTCTGACACATGACTGCTGGACAGAGATACTCTCCTGCCTCATCTGAGGAAGGGAGAGGATCTCAACCCATGAAATCTGTGCGAACAAATGAACAGCTTTTCTTCCGGAATCATTTGATTCTTGCTGGCCCCTGATCGGTATCCTGCAGGTGGAGTTTGCCAATCCCAGTTACCTGCTGCCAGCTCCTCCCTCACAACCTGTCAGGTTTCTGGGGAGCAGAGCTGGAATTTTAAAGCCTCGAGGAACGAGGCAAAGGGTTTAGGACTCTGTAGCATGGTGACACTGAGCTTCTCTTCAGGGCGAAACGGAGCTACCGTGTCCAAAGGGGCTTGGCCAAGCTGTCTGGCATCTGGCACGATGGCCACTCAAAGAATGGCACAGAAAAGCGTAACATGAGTGCGGGCAGCTGGTCCTGCTGCAGATTTACAGGGCAAACCTGTGGAATCCCTGGCATAAATCTGTGGCCCAGATGCCATGGTGGAGGCTGCAGTTCTCTCCTGGGGCTAGCGTTTCCCTTTAGACGGGCCAGTGCAGCTGTAGGCAACTCTTGCTTTTGTCAAACACGCTGCTGCTTTCTTCCCAGCAAGCCTCCAGCACTGTTCTAAATGTGTGGGATGGGGGCAAGGATTGTCCTGGCTGCGGGTTGGTGATCACTGCAGTGTGTAGGTGTTACCCCTGCCTCTTAAGAGGATTTGATGCAAGAGCCAACTAGGGACTTGTCCCAGCCCAGACAGTGCTGGTGAAGCAGGAGGCTGACCTTCCAGCCCCTGCATTGTTCATGGGTGTAGTAGGGTTCATTACACAACAGGTGTACAGCCTAGAGCCGCATGTCAGGAAAACTTGTATTCAGACCTTCTTGATGGTGCTGTGGCTAGAGGGACAGAGCACCTGGCACAGGGGCCTGGGTGAAATGTGAGCCTACGCTGCTGCGTCCCACCACTGCCAGTCTGTCAGCCATCCAGTGAGCCCTAGCGGTAAACCACGGATAAAATGGCTGGGTTCTTTAGCTGGCACCTGCTACCGTTTCCTCTCATCTCTGGAAATGCCTTCTGCTAGGGACAGGGGGTGCCTGCACACTCAAGCTGGGGCCTCCCGAGAGCTGGCTCTGGAGGGGTCCGATAAACGTGACTCTGTGTTTTCAGATGTGGAGGTCTCGCTCCTGGCGCATAGCATGGTCTTACTGTCCACCAACTACCTCGGGGCCAAGGAGTGACGGCACAGGCACCGACGTCAACCTCTTTCCAGTGCTGGTGGTCGCAGCAGGGTAGTTTTTTTGGCTCGCATTGCAGGACGAGGGCTGGACTTTAGTGAGAAACACCTTGCTTTTTGCCTGCTGATCTAGCTCTAAACAGTGCAGCATCGAAGAGTAAAACCCTTCCTCAGCCCTGCCAGAGCGGAGTGCTGCAAGCATATTTACCTTCGCCACACCGTCAAGTCCCCAGAGCAAGAACCTGCTGTGGCTCCCCCTCCCTGGGTGGTAGATTCCATGGTTTTTGAATGTGTAAGATTGGCCTTTGCTGGGGGTGGGACCGACCCTGCAATTCTGAGCCACGCAGACTCCCATGCTCTGCCCTGTCATTTTCCAAGTGAGACCACGCTGGGACACAGCCAGGAGCCCGGGCTGTGCCATTATAGCCTCGAACGGTGGCACTTTAAATGTAATCCTGTCCAGCAGAGAGCGCTACTCTTCCCCTGGGAGGCTCCCACTGGTAACGTAGAGCAGTGGGCATTACCTAGCTCGCTTCCTTGTTGCTCCAGGACCTGTGACGAGACACCAGGCCGGAGCAGTGCTCTTTGTTGTTTTTCCTGTTAAGTTGTTATGACTTTATTTACTGTGTTGTTTTAGGAATAAGGTGACTTTTACTAGGAGGGGCTGTGGGTGGAGCACCCTAGTTGCCAGGGGCTTTATAAGTGACCTTGCCCCTTTGGCCAGTGATATGCCTTAATGTTGAGGATCTCTGTGTTTGTTCAGTTGTCTTTTTAGTTCACAGCAGCGCCCTGTTAATGCTTAAATTGTGACTGTTCTTCTCTGCCCTAGCTGACTGCTGGAAAGAGGCAGGCCAGGTCACCACTTTCAAACTTGGCCACTCAGTCAGTTAGCCTGACTTTCAGTTTCCGAGCCTCTACTGATTTCAGGGGAAGCTGCAGGAGCTGTGGGCGCTGAGCCCCTCTGAGGCTCAGACCACTTTGTATAGATGCCCCACTCTGAAAATGCTGGCCTAGAGCCTACTGCCATAGAAATAAATGCTAAACAGCACTTTCCTGTTAACGGCAATGAAGCGATTTAAAGTTCTGCCTAATCAGTTTTTAGACTTGAACTTTCTGCTCAGTGAGAGGATTTGGGAGCCAGAAGTTTGGTCAACTGGAGCTCCACCGCTGTGCACCTGAATGGCTCGTGGCAGAGGCGGCACGTTGAGTTTAAGGGATTTTTTAAAAAGTTACTTATAACTAGTGTCGTAAGTTATTTATGGCAGTAAAAATGCATGAAATGTCAGTCTTAAATCTGTGGTACCCTTACATAAATATTCCATTAAAGACAACAGCTAAGGAAAGGTCTCTGGTGCATTTTTACAATTCGAGTCTGTGCGAGGTGTCCAATTAGTCTCCCAGCACCTGTAACTCTGATTGAGAGGTGGGAGTGGAGCCCTGCGCTCAGCTTTTAAAGCAGCATGTCGAGGATGACCCATAGGATGTCGACCCATAGGAGCAAGCGAGCTGTTAAAGCCCCACTACTCTATTTTTCATAGACCATGTCCCATTAATAAACCAGAGGATATTAAGCTGCAGTCTGAGTAAACAGCCTTTGTTTGTCTAGCTGGAAATATTAGGCCTTCAGCATAGACAGAGACCACACGGCGATTCCTAGAGGTGTGCAATGGTTACTTCACTTCTCTAATCTGCTTGAATTAGGGTCAAACAGGCCTCAGCAGGAGTCCCTACCCAGTGACTTGGGGGTAGCCTCACCCCAACTAGCTTAAACCATATGCTTTTATCTCCTTTGAGAGGAGAACACAAGGCCCACGATGCAAGTTTGAGCATTTATTTATTTTTACACTTAAATATTCTCTTTAAATACAGCATTATCACAATGAAAAGAACCTAAAAGGTCAAAAAAAAAATAGCAGAGGACCTGACAAGCTTTGGATTCACATTGAAAATTCCACCTGGATACAGGGTGTGAAAGGAGACGGAAGTCACTATTTCAATAGGAAGAGGAGCAGGGGCTAGAACCAAAGTGTCTCAGAACGGGACCAGGCAACAGCTCAATAGCACCAGAAGTGAGATGGGCTGTTGGGTTTACTACACGGCTAACAAAAGAGGAGACAGTGCGGTACCAGCATTAGTGTCACAAAGTGTGTGGGGGGAAGGGGGGAGGGAAAAAGGCCAAAATGCATGTTCGTGTTACCTCTGTAAAAATAGATTAAATCCTATTAGTTCTTTGCTTAGTGCGAGAGCCCCCATCCTAACTGCTGCCCTAGGATTCTTCTGTAATTTCATTTAAAGCAGTCCAGCCTCTGGTCATTTTGTGTATTTCCACATCACCAGAAGGCCCCAGCCTAGATTCAGTTGCTTCTCTAGCAGCGAAGGGCTTGGATGCAAATCAAGAAGGGAACTTTAGTATCAAAGATTTTACCTATTAAATGTCACCAGGCAGAACCACTCACTTTCTTTCCCTCGCAGAGGAGAGCTGCCCTGTTTCTCACAGGAGCAGACGGCATGCCCAAAGCCCTTACAGATACATGGAGGAGTCAGTCTGGCAAATGGCCAATCCACAGTTATTCAACACCTGATCCACACACACAGCCAGGTCAGCTAACTGTGTGAAGTGAAGGGAGTTGTCCTACTGGCCCAGGTGACGATTATTCCATGGGGGATTTTGGGGGTGGGCGGGAGAGAGCTTTTGTCTTTACCTGTGGGTTCAACTACCCCCTTCCTACTCACTGGCAGCACCATCTTGGAATGTTGGGGGGGGGGGGGGGAGGAAGAGAATTCTCCCTGCTAAATGCTTCAAAGGGATCTGCTAGGAAAGATGTGAACCGTTAATTCCAGTCTCAAGTGCACGTTCTGCTGGTTACAGTTCGGCCAAGGGATGAAGCTTAAAGCGCTCAGTAGCGTAAGAAGCTCCGCTGCTGTCCTACTGCACAAATGACTTTTAAAGCCTTCGTGTCTTGCTGTCCCCGAGGAAGGGGACTGGCGGTGGAATTAAGGCAACAAAAACGGGGGGAGGGCGTTTGGGCTGTCTACAGGAGCTGCCCAGCTGTGGCAGCACCAAGTGCAAGATTCAGCAGCCTGTTTAGGGACCCACTTTTGAAAGGACAGCTGCCCTGGGGGTGGGCCAGACAGCCCCACCTTTTCTACAGCACCCAACTTTATAGCTCAGAGTGTGGAATTTGGAAATAGAGAATTTAGTGATTTCATTTGTGCCTCCCCCCCCTGTAACAAACCAGGGAGAGAAGAAACATCAGCACCTGCACCAGTGTGAGCTGTTCTTGTCCATTTCTCACAGTCATGGTGATGGGGTTGTGGTCATAGCCCCAGCAGGCAGGCGATGGGGCTGCGTGGTTGATGTTTAAGGAGACATGGACACTGAGGCCAGAGGAGGTTCACAGTCTAAACCATAGAGGAAAAGCTAGTTTGCTGAACACAACCTTCACTTCTAACTGCTCACTGTGCCAGGACAGGCAGCCAGTAGATCTTAAATACCAGTCACCAAAACCCAGTGGGCTCACGAGCCCTGTTTACCCTAGAGATCCAGCAAGGTGTTAACATGTAGTCAACCCACCATCGACTACTTCGTATCCTTCCAGCACAAATAAGGGCTGTAGCTACTTACTATGGGAGGGGAAACAAGAATCTTAAGAAATCTGTAATGGAAGAGAGTGAAATGGACGAGATTGTTGCGGCAGCCTAGCAGGCTCCACGCGTCTGAAAGAGACGGGAAAGGTATTTCTGCTCTCCGCAGAAGTTTAGTGCTGCAGTCGTGCTGGGTCCTGGCCCTTTAGAAAGTACAGTGCAGAGAAATACAACTGGGTCCTGGCTGTGTTCTCCTTGGGCCAGGAGACTGAGGGGACTCGGGAAGGGGTCTGTACCAGCTTTTTATCACAGAAGGAAAGATGCCTGTGAGGTTAGGGAGAAAAGTGCTTTCGCTACCTGCCTGGAAGGCAGGGTTGATGGGCTGTTGGGACAGAAATTGTGGCAGTTTTGAGAAGATTGAGTCTTTCCCCCTGAGTCGGGGGGAAATGCTGTGGCTTATTAGAATGATGATTATGTGCCTCCCTGCACCAGACTGGGATGCAAGCCCAGAGCACAGCACCTTCTCTGCCACCAACATATTGCACCTTTGCAATCTCTGCTGAATTCACAGACAGTCCTAGCAGGGAAAGGGCCAGTTTCTTCCAAGGACTGAAATAGCTGCTGCCCACCCAGTCACCCAAGGCTGCAATTCCATTGCATGCAAACCTCTCGCCCTCCAGTTTAGACTGAGCCAGGACAGAGGGTTGCTATTAAGTGACTGGGTGGCAGGAAGTTTTTTGTAGGTGAGCGTGTGGATCATGTTCTTGGTCCTCCCCCTCCCCACTCCACTTCCTGTGCAATTAAAACAGAAAACATTGACATGATTAGGAAACAGGTGGCATCCCCCCTCCCCCACATCTCCACCAGGTTACCAGTCTTTACCATCCAACATTCAGACTTCCACAGAGAAGATCAAGTCCATTGGAGTAGCCCAGGTCCAAAGAGGGAGCTCCCAGAAGGGTTTGCCACAGCCCAGCACAGGGACTGTAGTGTCAGTTACAGGCAATGGGTCACAGAATGGCCCAGTAAACATTCAGCACGTTTAAAAAAAAAAAAGACTGGATTCCATCAAGCCCATAACGGGCAGGTGATGCAGTGCTGGGAGGCAGTAAGGGGGGGCCAGGACAAAGCTACTGATGAGCAGGAGACTCTAAGCTGGGTGCTGGTTTATAAAATGGTCGCATGCCGAAAGAGGAAACGTAACCAGTCGTGGAGGATGACTGATCCAGAGAAAGCCGTCTCTTCGGGTCAGGGTAAGGGTGGCAGCTACCGGGGGGAGCGCGGAGAGCCCAGGCTGTTCCGCTGCTGGGGTGGGGTTCAGACAGGTGGTTCCAAGGGCAAGTGCTGAAGCAAACGGCCCGGTAGGAATGTTGTCAGTTTCACCTGGGAGGAGAAGCAGGATGGAGACTCTGCCACACAAACACGTTCGAGATCGACGGGGGGGGGGGGACGGGGGACGCAACCACGGAAAGGCGTCCCCGCTGCCCCACAGGCCAAGTCCGGTGCTCGAAGGGGAGGAACAAGAGGCAGTTTCGCACTATTGCTTATAGGAGACAGACACAGATTCACATAGGATGGTCCCTGTGGGGGCAGGGAGGAGACACCCAGTTCCATAAATGGGAGGGAGCTCAGCTGAGCCTTCCTCATCTGGCACGTGGCAGCACCTCCAGGGTTAGACGTGATGCCCCACCCTCTCTGAAGAGGGAGCCTCAAGAGACTGCCACAAGCGCTTGGTTGCATTGGTTTTCTTTTAAATCATATATACAAAGCAGCCCGGCTCCCACCCCCCGATACCAATTAAATAATCCTCAGCGGCCACTGCCACTCGATAAAATATCTGTCAATAAATAGACATCAGAGAAAGCTCCCGGCAGGGTCAGGGGCTGGGTCACACGGCCAGGGCGGGCCCCAGGGAGCGCTCCTCCGGGGAAGGCAGCTCACACACTCTCTCCGGGGCCTGCTCCGGTCCAGACGACGGAGCGTTTGTACGGAACGGGGGAGCTGCGGCTGCCCTGCAGCTCTCGTGGGGCGGGGAGGGCTCCAGAGACAAGGCGGCTACTTTCCCCATCTCCGTCTTGCTCGGGGCCATGGCTCTGCTGCACGGCACCAGCGAGGCCACGGGGACGGAGAAGACGCTCAGATCCTTCTCATTCGTGTAAGGAGAGGGCATCTCCGACTCCTCCGTGCCACTCTCGCCCTTCACCCCCAGCATGGACCTTTGGTCCACCTGGTAGTACACCACCGGCCCATTGTTCAAGTAGGACTGGTCGCCCACAGCCGAGGCTGCCTGCTCGGTGCTGTCTGCGAAGCACAGGACAGACGAGCCCGGAGGGAGCTGGGCTTGAATGAGGATAGGCGTGGGTAGGCCTGGGCACAGCCCCTCAGGCACGGCCAGAGGCTCCTCAAGGATGCACACTCCTAAGCTCTCTATGTTGGCGCCACTGGAGTCTTCCTCAGCCTTCAGCCTCTCCAGCTCCTCCGCCGTCTGCAGGTGCATGACGGCTGTCTCGTTCTCCGCCATGAACTCCTGGAAGTCTTGCGTCTCCGAGGGCTGCGTTCCCAGCCAGTCGTTGCCGGAGCCATGGAGAGACTCCTCCTCCAGGGCCTGGGGCCGGTTCACCTGCCGCTTGTTCTCCAGCTCCAGCTTCATGATGGTGTGGAGATAGTGAGTCCGCACCCGGATGGGATTAAATTCTATTCGCCCGGCCATGTTCCCGCAGCCGTCCCTGGAGCAGCCACATGGGAAGGACATGCGATCCACCTGGGAGTAAAGGGAAGGGCAGTGAGACTGTAGCTAACAACAGGGGACATGGCCTGGCATGAGCACCTCTCCGGGCTCAGACCTCAGCTAAGGGAAACATGCACAGGGTTGTCTGCCACCGCACTACAACAAACCATTAACTAGCCCACAAGTGCAGCCCTCGCCCCCCCGTTAACCCTGCCAGAACCCGAGGCTAATGCCTGGTCCTTCCCGGAGCTCCACATCTCCAGCCAAACCTGGGGAGTGCGAGGTGACCCTGCAGCATCTGCCTGCCTCTTCCCACCTGAGCACGTGGCTAAGTGGGGCTGGCAGGTGACGGGGGGGATGAGGTCACATTGCTGTGGGATCAGTGGACAATGGCCAGGGAATGCACTGCTCCCCCTGCACCAAGCCAAGGACAGTGTGGCTAGCCAGGAACCCCCCCCCCGCCCCCTCACCCCCCGGGTGTCTCACCATCATGGGAACAACCAGGAATTCAAATGGCCAGCGAGCAGGAGGGGCTGGGCCACCCTAACAGCAGGTCTGGCCCTTTACTCATGAGAATCCAGGGGTATATTCAGGGGATCCCTGCTTTGATGCAAGGACCCCAGGTGTTTGGCGGGGATGGGGGGTACTGGGAGGTCCCTCCCCTCTTACTCCCTGTCCCCATTTCTGACCCTTACATCCCAAACTGCCCACCCCACCCCCGCTGCTTTGGTTCCCCCTCTATCCAGGAGATGCCATTGGTGTGCTCCAGGAGTCAGCCAGCAGGGGGAGCCAGTGCAGTCCATAATTCCTGCCACACACCTAGGCAGTCTCTGGTCCCAAGCCCAGATCTCAACCCAACAAACACCATCAGGATCGGATTCCTGGCTCTTTGCAGCCACCATCTTGGTCAGACTGAACAGAGAGTTCATCTCCATGGGTGGGGGCGGCAGGGAAGGGAAAGGACGACACCCCAGCTAACGGGGACGTTTCTTTCCACCTGACCAGAGTAGGGATTTGACGCGTTATTCCTCTAAGGTCCCCAGAGCCCTTTCCAGGGCAGGGAGAGGCTCAGCACAGGCCAACGCTGCAGACCTAAGAGCTCCCCCACAGCCTGGGATGCCTCCGATTTGCAAGAAGGGGCTGTTACCGCCTTCAATTTGGGCGCTGCCCTGCACAGCAGCCCCTGGAACCAGGCAGACGCAGGTCTTCTCTGAAGGGTAGCTCCCATCCTCCCCCATCCTGCCCAGCAAGTTCAGCACTGGGGATAAGCCAGAGACCTGGCACAGAAATTGAACCCACAGCCCTTGAGCCTAGAGACCAGCTCCGACACAATCCAGCACGGATCAGGCCAGACCCTGGTGCTACCTAGAGCTGCCCCAACTGACCTGGCATTTAATCCCAGCTTGGCTGCAAGCACAGGCTTCGGGATCGCAGTACAGGCGGCAGTCGCAGCCGCATTCCTCTCGCGACAGGCGGATGGCGCGCAGTTCCTGCTTCTCCTCAGCATCGATGCGGTGAACCCCGGAGGCCCGGAGCAGGGCTCGGCGCCGCTTGGTGGGCAGGGGCTGCAGAAAGAAATAGTCGTCCACTTCCACGTTCTCCACATCAATGTCGTCGTCTGACACGTCCTCCAGGGTCAGGCCGTCCGCCTCCTCCGACTCCACTGTGCCGTTCTTGGTCAGCTGGGGAGACACGGGCAGAGTTAGTCCTTGGCTTGGGCCCTGGGCATGAGGCCTGGCGCTCTGCCCCAGCACACGCCTGGTGAGACACCCGCTAGCGTTAGCTCTTGGAGAAGCGATCTGCCGGGAAAGGGGAGACTCAGTTGGTACCACGCACTTAGGGACCTTCAACAGCAGCAGCAGATGCTGAGAAAGATCTTTCCTCCCAATTTTCTCCTGCACGGCATCATCTGACTCAGTCACCTCCTGCCTCGTTCCCACCCACCCACGCAGAGGCCTCACGTACCGCTGGGCCTGCACCCCCTTCGCCCAAGGTCACTGCAGCCAAAATGTCATTTCACTCAGCTGTCCAACACAACTGGAGTACAAGGCAGCGGACTCAGCCCTCCACACGACATCAGCGTCACAGGGGGATCTGAGCGATCAGTCAGCACAAACAAACAAGCTGCCGCCCAAGCGGATTCTCCACCAGGCCCCAGGTTTTCCCCTCCTCAGCCCCTTGCTAGGCCAGGCCAGATAGCCTGCAGGGCATCCTCTGCGCTGACCACCGGAGATGTGCTGGGGAAGGAATGTGTGCTCAGGTCAGAGGAGACGGCTGCCCGTCCCCACCCTCTGCAAACAGGGAGATAAAAGGAGGCCGCCGTGTCTTAAAATATCTGGCCCCTCAGAGTGGAGCAGCAGCAGCACCCCCGTGGGCCGGATGCAGTAGACATGACATCGGCGTTTGAGAACGGGCCAGTCAAGTGTCTCCCAGCACGTGGTTGAAAAGCAGCTAAGGGGCCAAGCCTCGGCACCCAGGATCCTCCAGGAATATCAATGCGTGTGGCTTCAGCAGTGCAACCGACTTACAGATACGGCTCCTGGGCTGACGGGGCCCCATCCCTCCACCCACACACCAGGCCTGCCCCCCAGAGCAGCTGAACAAAACCTGAACCCTCTGCCCCCAGTCCTCTTCCATTACAGAAATGAAGGCTGCTCCCTGATCGGACTGACAGGAACACAGAGCTGAGTAGCGGCTTCTCTTTCATTCCCTCTGCTCCCCAAACCCTTGGAAACCGACAGTACAGTGTGTTTACACGGCCAGGGCTTTTTTTCCTCCCCATTTCTATTTTAAACGCAGAGAATCAGGGTTCCTAACGCAGGCATGATGGAGAAGCTGCTGCTGGAATACGTGACAATACTCTAGAGGCTGCTGCTTTCGTCAGACAAGCCCAGGTTTGCGGAGGCAGAAGGAAAATTCCTGAGAGAGACATGATGCAATAACTCCAGCTTAAGAACGCTCATTTCAGGAGCCATGGAGATCAGAGCGACTCCACCTCCATTCTCTGCAATCCAGGAGGTTCCCCGCAACAGATGGCAATTCTACAGCCCTGCTTGCCACTGGTGGCTCACGCCAGGCCCCCAGGATCCCAGCGTGACTGCGTTGGCTGCAGGTGCTTCGCAGACCCCAGCTCATCATCTTCCCCATCTCTCTGCACCCGTTCGTCTGCCCCACATAACCCGCCCTGCAGCCACACGCCCCAGCAGGGGAAAAGCCCTAGTTCGAGGTGTGCACTTTAGAGGCTGGACGGATGTGTGTCGGTTTGCCAAGCAGGTTGCCATGGCAGCAAGAGGCGGATTTGAAGGGCTAGCTTTGCAGACAGACATGTCCGCTCAGTAAGGGAAGTCCAGTCTCTAGGGAACCCCCCTCCCCCCAGGGCACAGGCCAGGTACTCACCCATTGGGGATAGCATGCCCCACTGATTGAGTCTTCTTTGTGCCTCAGCTCTAGAAATTGGGCAAGCTTGCAGAAAACCTAGTGCCAGGCTGAGAGCAGGGGCGGCTCTATGTTTTTTGCCGCCCCAAGCATGGCAGCCAGGCGGCAGCACGCCTGCGGGCGGTTCGCTGGTCACGCGGATTCGGCGGTGTTTCTGCGGGTGATCTGCCAGTCCCGCGCCTTCGGCATACCAGTCGCCGAAGCCGTGGGACTGGCGGACCTCTCGCAGGCATGCCGCCGAAGGCAGCCTGACTGCCGCCCTCACGGCGACCGGCACACTGCCCCCCGCGGCTTGCCGCCCCCGGCATGCGCTTGCTGCGCTGGTGCTGCCCCTGGCTGAGAGAGGAGGTTTAGCTCCAGCCAGGATCTTGTCTCTTAGCAGCCGCACCACTGGCAAGATTCTGCCAGGCCGCGCCCATCTGGTCAACACCCACAACCGAGAAAAGTAAATGACTTGAGACAAAAAAATCACCTCTGGCTGCTCCCTAGGAAGCTCAGTCGTCCATCCCCATTCCCACATCTGGCTCTTCCCAGCCTGGGTCCCAATCCCTCCAGAACTCGTGGTCACAGATCCACCCCCCTCCCCTGCAGGACAGTTGCATTCCAAGAAGGGGCGAATAGCGATGTCCGATCTGCCTTCTCCATGCCAATAGCGACGGAGGAACGCAGGATCATGCCTGGTCTGGAGAAAGGCAACCAGGCGCCTCTATCCGCCCGCTCTTGGAACGTGAGCACAAGAGACATTCAGCGACGGCGGAAGATAGCACACTTTAAAATGAGGTCAAAAGAAATCCTGTTCACACCACACGCAGCCGGTTGAACGCTTTTCCATTGACACCAAGAGCTCAAATAGGATTAAAAAAAGGACTGCATATTTACAGTGACAGGAATATCCGGAGTTAGAAGAGTAAATATTAAAAGATCTCTGCCCTCCTGCTTCAGGAGTCAGTCAAACCCTCCTGCTACCAGGGTGGGGGGCGGGTTAGGAAGACACTTCCTCTGGGGGCTGCTTATCACATCCCTGCCCAGCTGCTGGGTTTCATGCACCCTCCTTCGAAGCAGCTGCTTTTGGCCAGACAGAGGATCCCGGCCTGGGGATTCCCATAGCAGTCACTGAGCTCTTATGCGCCTTTACCCGCTCCCCCCTCTTTGTCAGTGATACCTTCATCTTCTTGGCATGGAGTTTCTCCTCCTTGAGGTGCTCCCGGAGGATCTCCCGATGATTCACCTCCTGCTCCTGGGCGAACTCGCACAGCGTGTACCTGCGGACGGAGTTGTGGCGCTGGGCCATGCCCAGGGAGCTGCCCCCTTGGCTGGGCACACTGGTGAAGCCCTGGCGCCGGGCAAAATAGTACACGGTCACCTGGTCGAAACGCACATTCTTCCTGCGCAGCTGTTTCTGCCTCTTCAGGATGGATGTGGCTGAGATCGGAGGGAAGGGAGCATTAGACACAGGGCGAGAGCACGGGATTCTGGATGGACCCTACTCATGCCACGACCGCCCCCAGCTCTTCCACGGCACAGCAGAAGCATGGACCCTAGTTGATTTGCTCTGAGTTGCTGATGCACAGGCACCTGAAAAGGCCGATCAGCTGATTTGAGGTACAAGGATGGGAGGAAGAGGGACAAGCAGGATGTTTGCCTCAATCAGGACTGGCAGCCAACTTCCAGAGCAGACCATACCCTGGACCTCACTGAGGAGGAATTCATGCGTGGAAATGCCTTCCCCTCCCCTAAGGCTTTGCAAGAGTTACATTCAGAGGACCCTATTTGGGGAGTTGGGGAAGGGAGGCCAGTCCCAGGGATATGGACGCTCTCTCTGGCTGTAAATGTCTGATAGGGTTAGAGGAACCGTGTGAAGGGGAGAAATCACATTTCCAGCTGAAGACTTCTGGCAAGTAACCCCTAAAATTCCTTTCACTGGAAACACTCATTCACTCTTGCTCATCTTTATCAGTTTATTTACTTTGTCCATAGTCAGAACCACCATTTTTTGTTTTTGACAGCATGTCGCCCTTCTCTGACACCACAAGGGGTTTACCATTGGGAACAGGAGCAGCAAGGCTGAAACTGAAGAGGCAGCAGATGTGCAGAGAGAAGGGAGAAGGCAGGAGAGCCGAGCCCGAACAGGTTTGATGGCTTGGCTTTTGGGCCCCCTCCAGGAGATCTTTCCAAAAGGGGAATAGAAAAATTCCTTCCAAATTTTTCTTTAAAATCAAATCTTTTTAATAGTAATAATAATACAGGGCAAGCGATTTTCTAATCCAAAATATATATTTTTAAAAAGTTAGAGGATTTAAAATAAGCTAAGTTGATAGTGGTTTCTTGAAAGGGATGGTAAATTTGGGGCTAGAGGGGAATTACAAATTTCTAATTCCTCTGATCCTTCCTGACCATTGACAATACTCCTAGCATCATCACTTTCCTCTGGAGCACTGAGCAGGGATCATCTTTTAGGGTCAGGTGGTTGTATCATACATGCCAGAATTAATCCACTGTTGGATGGAGCGAGAGCGGGAGCTTGGACAGCGTAGGAGGGAATCGGACTTTCTCAGCTTCCATGCTGAATGTTAAAGCATCCCTAAAAAGCAACAGAGGGTCCTGTGGCACCTTTAAGACTAACAGAAGTATTGGGAGCATAAGCTTTTGTGCCTTGCATCTGAAGAAGTGAAGTTCTTACCCACGAAAGCGTATGCTCCCAATACTTCTGTTAGTCTTAAAGGTGCCACAGGACCCTCTGTTGCTTTTTACAGATTCAGACTAACACGGCTACCCCTCTGATACTTGAAAGCCTCCCTAGAGATTCTCAGGAAAGAGAGTTCGTTTGCACAGGGAAATAAAAAAAAGCACCTCAACTGTGCTCTTGGGTTGGAGACCGTTGTCATGCAATCCATGCCTGCCTGCCCCCACCCCTCATTTGCAATCCAATGTCAGGCAAGGTCATCTAACTGAACCAAGTGTGAGACGATGGAAGGGCAAAGACCAAATCTGTCCAGAGGGAACCCATTTGACTAGGTTTTCAGCCCACAAAGCATGGACACCAGCATTCCCCTGGGCGTGATTTGCACTTGTCTCATGCTAGTGAGACCAAACTGTGTGATGTGAAACGAGCCAGATGCCGGGTCCACCAGTGAGGTCAGACAAACGAAACACCACTGAGCGGCTCTGCAAACCCACCCCCCCATCCACCGGCTCAGCCACTCACGTATGAAGCCCATGGTGCTTGGGGGGTTGAGGCTATCGCAGCTGTCGGCGCTGTCGCTGTTGGAAATCTCATCGTCCGAGTTGGAGACGGGCGAGCCCACATCCACATCTTCAAACTTCCTCTTGAGGCTGCCGCTGGCGATTGCATCCATTTGTCTCTGGCTCGCATGGAGAGCCAAAGAGCATAAAAAAGGAGACGTCAGCGGCAAGAACTCCAACAGCAGCCCCAGGGCTATTGTGGGGGCTCAGCGGGTACCTGGGGATAAACAGGGAGCATGGGGGAGAGAAAGTCAGCAATCCACCAGCACCAAGCCGAGCTTTTCTAGTCTGTATTGCTACAGCCCCTGAGCTTACACCGATGCATCAACAGGCCCCCATCTCCACAGCATGCACTGCTGAAATGGTTGCCAAATGCCTTCTTGGAAAGGGGCCACTGGGCTGAGTTCCTAGCAGTTGCTCTTCCAAGTTAGGGCATCAAGACCCCCAAAACTTCTTGTTCTAAGCACCAGTAACAGCACACTGCTTGAAAAGCAGCAGAGGGGCAAACCCTTAGTGCCACAGTGACGTTTATGCATTAAATGATAAGCCAACACACGAGGCAATAGAAAAGGCTAAAGAGAATTCTGTGCCAGGACTCCAGCAAACTCTGCTGCCCACAGGTCCCATCGACCCACCGCTTGTTCTTGGCCTGAGAGGGAGGACTAGACTAAAGCTCATACAGAGGTGTCATGACAGAACCATGGGAGGGTTGACTGCCTCCTTTGCGATAGACTTGCCAAGATAGAAGTCCTGCATGGAGTTTAAGTTATTTACGCTTTTAGATGCCAGCTGGGTTTCCTATTCCTCAACATGTTACGTCAGACACGTGGTCCGATACACTCGGCTGACTGGGAGAAGAGTCTGTTCCTGCCTTGTGTGTAGCATATGGTGAGGAAAAATGCATGGTCACAAACCACGAAAGGAAGCTGGACAGGAAGCCTAAATCAAACAGGTTTCATACTTAGAATCAACTGGACCTAAGCCACTGGGGTGATGGTGGCCAAATTAGCATAGAGGAACCATATCAAGAATGGTTCAAGAAGAGACGTCTATTGAGACTTCCACCTATTGCAGCACTAACCCACCCATCACTGGATCACTTGATGATGATCAGTTCTGTTCATTCCCTCTGGAGCACCTGGCATTGACCACTGTCGGAAGACAGGATATTGGGCTAGATGGACCATTGGTCTGATCCAATATGGTCCATATGATTCTTCTTAGGATTACTCAGTTTCTACATTGACTGTCACGGAGAGGAGGGACCTGTCACCTAGCTTTTACATAACAGCTACTAATATGCTAGACTGTGAATAATGTTTACCACATATGGGGGAATACAAGCTACAAAGACTTAAAAGGATTCCATAGAAGAGGTCACAGGATCAGCAAACCCTGCCCAGGTAGTCTTCCTATTCTTATCTAACCATCTCGGTCTATTCTGCTCTGCAACTATGGGAGACTCTCACTCTTAAAACAAGGCCTAGGGGCAGATTGTAAGCGTGAAGCTAACACAAAAATGGAGCTTTACATGAGTCCCACAGTAAAAAGGCATATGGCAAAGGCATAGAACTAGGTAAGTTCATGGAGGATCGGTCCATCAATGGCTATTAGCCAGGATGGGCAGGGATGGTGTCCTTAGCCTCGGTTTGCCAGAAGCTGGGAATGGGCAACAGGGGATGAATCACTTGATTCCCTGTTCTGTTCATTCCCTCTGGGGCACCTGGCATTGGCCACTATCGGAAAGTAGGATACTGGGCTAGATCGACCTTTGGTCTGACCCAGTATGGCTGTTATGTTCAGCTGAATATCAAGCTCTAGATAAGAGTAGATGCCTGTAGCTTCCACAAATACAACAGGACCCCTCCCTATTTTACTAAATAATTGAGGATTGAGTTCATGGAATTGGACATCTCAAAATTACAGTAGGTTTAGTGCACAAGCTGCTGTCTGGTGCACTGCATTGTTTTCTTCTTGTCCTTCAAACCATTGCAAAGCAATTTCCAATGCACTGAAGGCACTGGGATGTGAAGGGATGTCGACTTGTTCTTCATTGACATCCCTTTCATTATGTGATTTTTTTTCCCCCATTGGGAAAAACAGCTCATATAACTGGCTGTATAAAAGATTGGTGTTCAAAAAATCAATCGAGATTCTACTATACCCAAGAACACAATTCCCAGCATCACATCATGAGATATGGAATAACTTACTGCAATTTGAGTGACTCTTCTCAGGGTGTAAGGGTAAGAAAGTCACACCTATATGTAAGCTTAGATCAGTTTTCAAACCTCTTTAAACTGGTGTAAATCCCTGCATAGACACTCTTATTTCAGTTTAAGAATGAGTGACTTATATTGGTTTAGTTTAAGCCAATTCCTAATCGACTTCAGCTAAATGAAAATAAGCCTGTCTGAAATCAAAATACAAGAGTCCGCACAGCCATTTGTGCCAGTTTAACTCAACTGGTTTATAATCACCCCCTTTAAGGTAAAACACATTCAATTCTCTCACATAGACAAGGCCTTCGTTTAGAAGTGGTATCCCAAGAAGCCGGGGGCTCCTATACCCAAAAGCAGCCATGGATTATATCCAGTTCTCGTTTTAGGATCCAGTGAGAAGACAAGTGTAACAGGTCACAGGTTTATAGGGTATTTGCTAATAACACTAGGACTGAGTTGAACGCAGAGGAAAAAGTAGAACCAGCTGCGTTGTTCTTGGCTTCAGCGCGGTCTTCCTAGCGGATTTCCACCCTAAACGCAGAGCTGGGGACTGTTCTAGGAACAAACCACTAACTAGCCCTGCCTGTAACAGAGTGCTGCCTAAACTAATTTCAATCAGATCAGCTGCTCTATCATAGGAGTTGAAAGGAGCACAGGCCCTGTCTATGCGAAGCCTGGAAAGGCCACACACCCAGCCTCCTAACAAACTGGGCACTTCAGAAACTCAGTGGCGAGAAGAGACTGAATCAAAGCGGGTAGTTCTCTCCCCATCCCCACTTCCAGCAGAGAGAGACATTCATTATAAAGCAATGTTCACTTGCTAAGTCAAGAAACAGCAGAGCGGTGTGAAACAGGCACCATTTCTCTTGTGCCTGATGTTTAGAGGCATGGGTCACCAAGATGCAGATAATTTGGACCAGAATGACTTTGATCTGCGCCCTTCTTCTGAGGCAGATGGATACAGAATACCCCGGGGATACCTGGGGCAGCGGACAGTCTCCTCGGAGCTCCCTGCTAGATGGAAGTCTTTACGCTTTTTAATAAGGCATCTCTCCAGGGCCAAGAGAGAGACCCAGACATACACACCTTTGTCATCAGAGGTGCAGTTGGATGGGGAAGTGATCTGCAGGGCAGGAGAACGAGAGAGGCCCAGCCAAATGCTGAGATCTCCTCCTCCGGGTCAGGTTGGAGTTTATCGAAAGTGCCATGCAAACCATAACACAACTCTATCAGAACAAGCCAAGCAGAGCGATCCGACCCTTTACACCTTGCCCAGACCATCGCATGTGTTCAGGATAGTTTTTAACTCATTTCTTCTGGAGCAGGGCGGGGTCCCAGGCCGCATCCCTGGTGGTTGGGATCCTGAGCCCAACACCCACCCACCCAGCCTTCCCCCTCCCCTCAGTCTCCTCTGCACTGGTCTATTCCCTTCAATAAGCTAGCAACTGTTGCCATGACAACAAGTTGAACAAATGGGTTTTGAAAAACATGTCAGCCGACTGCGTGTAGCAGGAGAGGCGAGAGGCTCCTGACTGCAGGACGGAGCTTCCTGGGGGAATCAAACGATTCCACGCTCGATTCCTTCAAACAAAACGGGGAGCAGCCCCGCCCCTTCGCCTCCAGCTTCAGACTCTTCACTGTTCAGTGCAGGGAAAAGTGCACGGATTCGCTCCAGGGTTCTGGGGGCCTCCAACCTCTTCAAAAATCAAGAGGAAATGAGACTGCTCCCCCTGCCCCAAAAGCAAGCGGAGTAAAAACCTGCGAGTCTCGTACAGCTGACACAGCAGAAAAGGAGATGCGATGAAGTCAACGGGCGCTTTGCAAGTATCGAATTACTCCCGGGAGGCTGCGCAGTAGCACCCTCAGGTTTGCCTATAAGCAGAGTTACACCAGTTGAAGAGGTGGATGTTAAACTGATTTAGTTAACCCAGTGCCAAAGGCACGGGGATGCTCTTACTTTGATTTAAACCAAGTTTGTTTCGTTTTAGCTTAAATTGATTAGGAACCGGTTTAAGTTAAACTGAAATAAGCCCCTCTTCAACCAAAAATCAGTGTCTACACAAGGGTTTGGACGGATTTAACTGGACTGAGGTCCAGATGCTTTCAATGGCCTGCTGAATCCCTCCAAATTGCTGCTGCTGCCAAAGGCATCCTGCTCACTTGTTTGACCAGAATATCACCTCTTCCCTTGGAGAGGCTCCACCTGCTCCCCTTTGCGCTGCACATCCCATTCGCAGGGTCTGCCTTTGCCTCCAAGGCTCTGCATCTCAAAGATCCTGCCTACATCTGACCTGATCGTCTTTCACATTCCCACCTCCCTTCGCAATGCCAATGGCGCCTGCCTCAATACCCCTGTTGTCATCTTCTCACCAACACATCTTGGTCCCCTTCAAGCCACCTCCGTCTCAGTCAAGTCCCTCCCAAAATCTTACTCCTGCCATCTTGCCTATTGAGATACAATGTATATGGACAACAAGAATGTCCAGTGTTCTATTACTTAATGACAACAAAAATGTTGGAAGGGATATTAAGTCTCATACTTCAGGGCTTGAGCCAATCTCTATTAGAGATCAGGATGAGATGTCAGATGGGGTATGGGGGTGTGAGTGTGAGAGACAGTGTGTGTCGGGGAGAGGGGGGGCAGATTACCCCACATCTGGCAGTATTTATGCCTTCCTCTGAAAATTATGGCACTGGTCACTGCTGGCAGACAGAACACTGAGCTAGACAGACCTTGGGTGTGATCCAACATGGTAAATGCAGACTGAACAATGGGATGGCACCAAACAGCATGTTAGTACCACAATTTTTTTTTTTGGGGGGGGGGGGCGCTAAACAGAAAGGAAAGTGAATGAAGAGGGGACATTGAAAGGAAGGGGAATGAGGGGAACAGGGCGAGGAGAAGATGGTAAGAGAGAGGTGGAGAGACTGAGGCGGGGGACGACAGACGGTTGGAGCAAAGAGCCAAATCAGCAAAGGGCAGAGGAAGTCGAGTCAAAACCATAACGTGGTGTTTGAAGGTGGGTTTTACAGCGATGTGTATGTGTGTGTACACATACACCACCACCACCCCCGGCAAGAAACAAGCTCCTCTCTACAGTAAAGTCCATCTCCCACCTCATTGTGATACTGAGGTGTTTCCAGAAGAAATCTCTGGCTAATGGGGCTCTGGCAATCATATTCCCACCCGAGGTTGCAGAAGAGGGTTCAGAAACAAGATGCTACTGCACACGGGGAAACTGACCCATCCCCTTTTACGGTTTCCAGCAGAGGTGTTGACAAATAGCCTTCTGCCCCTTTGGACATCATGCATTTGTATGGAATGGGCATCCAGAACCATACTGGGGAAGCTGAAGCTCTTCAGATTTGACAGCTTGGATCGAGGCCTTACAAAGGGCCCTTAAGAACTGCCAAGTTCATTCTCAAACTTCATGCCTTGATATCATCATCATGGGACAAGACAACAGCAGCAGCATCTCAAGCGCCCTTCCTCACAATCAACTAGCAGAAACTATACTCTGGGCCCAATGGCATCTCTCCTCCTTTTCCACTCATCACCCACAGCAGGAGAGGGACATTGAAAAATATTTCACGGGGTGGCAGGGGGGAAAAGAAAGAAAAGAAGCTTCTGGTAACAAGTGCTAAAAGAGGTAGAGTCTTTTTTGGAAGCACATGGCCCTATTCAGGTCTGACGCTAGCATGTTACCTCGGCTGAGTATTAAGTGACCTGCTTTCTCCTTAGGGGAGAAAGGAACACAAACTGCCAAGAATTTAATTAACAATGAACTCCACTGAATCTCCGGATTCCAGTGCACCTCTGAATTAGCCTCCCTCAGCAATACATTAGTGTGGGTGGAGCTTGCCTCCTCCGGCATGCAGCCTGGCAGAAGTCAGTCACCCAGTAGGATGGGTTCTCGTCCTACTGAGTTTCTCCACCGATGGGTTAAGAGATTAACAACAGCATCCTGTCTGCTACTCCCTGGTACGCCATTGTTTGCAGTCCTGCTGGCTTACTGAGAAGCCCATGCACAGTGGAGAGGATTAACCTACAGCTCGTTCTCCAAGACTCGCCTTACAGGGCCTTAAAATAAAATAAAAAAAAGGAACTAATAATATAGCAAACCATGTGTGACATGCCCTGGACCCTTCTGCAGCACCAGACCCCGACAGCAACAGAAGGGGGCTCCAAGGCTGTCCCCTAAAAAGGAGATCCACAGTTGAATGGTGGGATAGATCACCTGCTTCTCATTACAGGAAGGAATTTCAAGTATTTTCTGAATAGCCCCGTGGTGCTGGGAACAAAGTGCTGATGGGAAAGGCAGAAGAGAGCAGCAGGCGCTGAACAGTGAAAGACTCCTTACAATGGGGCCAGCAGAACCAAAGTAGATTCTTTTTGTGTGTGGGGAGGTGGGAGGCTGGGGTGTAATTTCTTTGGAGGGGGGTGCCAGGGAGGATGAGAGAATTCCAGCTAATCCTGGAACACTAGCCCATCACCCTACCCAGAGGAGCTTGTTCTCTATCAGCTCAATTCCTTTCCCCGGTATGCAGGGGAGGACAGCTGTCCCTGCACAGCACGCACATCCTGCTGCAGGGTAGAGGAAAAGGCCAGTTTCATTCATTCGCTGTATCCAATTACTTGAATTTACAGAAAATGCACTTGTAAAAACCACTCGAGACACACAGTGGCAGGTTGCACGGAGACCTCTGGAGCCTTTGAGCCCGAGAGACATGCATCTGCTAATCTCTCTACAGGGAATGGGCACACAGGCAGGGCTGGCAAGTACCGTATGCCAAAAGCCTTGCACCAGGGAAACATTTCAGAAATTTCTCCATAGCATCTTTCTATTAGGAGACCCTCTTGTGCCACACTCACTAGGGCTATTCAGTGGGATTAGGATTTTGGTATGTTATCAGAGCAGGACAAGTGCTACTTGCAGCATTAGCAGGAAGAGACGGTGACTGCTTTTAAAATATAAAATGTCGTCTTAGACAATATCTTTCAAGACAAAAAATGGCTTTAAGAGTTGGATACAGTTAAAGCAGCAATGGTGAAGGCCCTTACGCCAAGAGCGGTGAGCTTGCGTGAAGGCACAGAGCAGAGCAGACGGGAAGCACAGAAAGACCAAGGCTACAAGGTCAACTGGAGCATGCAGAGTTTTCACAGAGGGCGAAAATAAAGAGCGTCAGTGGAAGGCAAGATCTGAAGACGGGGTGAGAATGGTCCCGTTTTGCACTGGAGAGAAGGTAGATGCTGAACTGTGCAGAGCAGGGACTTTGGGAGCCCAAAGACAACGCCCTTGACGTAGTTAAAGGTGGACGCTCAGGACAAGATGGTGAGCAGAACAGTTGTGGTGGACAGATTAAAGGGCCATGGGGGTCCATAAGCTTTGAGGTGGAGGTGAGGATAGGCAGGTATGCACAGAGAGGTAGGAGGAGGAAAGCTTAGTGCCAGCACACCAAGATTTTTGAGCGTGGCCTACTTTTTGGGCGGTGAATTCAACACGAGAGAAGAATTCTGATCACCGAAGGTGGCAACAGGCAAGGGAGCTCCACTAGAAAAAGCCAGCCAAGGACAAAGGTTTCCATACTGTGCTCCATGGCTGGTCGCACCATATCAACTCTTCTTGTTTCCATTTATTAAATGGCATACAAAGAAGCTGAAAACATTAAGTCTTCAATGTCAGCAATTGCTGTGGTTACCTCAGGGTATTTAGCATGAACAGAAGGGGAGAGGAAGGTCCACGTGATCAGGACGGGGATGTCTCCAAGGTAACCTCTGCATTAAGATGTGGTCCATACCAGGAAGAAGTTTGAGGCCATCATACCCAAAGGCTGCACAGAACTTCTCATGGCACCTCCTTTGTCTCAGGTCTTCAAGAAAGCGGATGGCTACCAGTTCAAAGCCAGTTAGAACTGGGCTGATTAACAAGCAGAAGATCCATGAGGCCCTACCAGTAACACATTGTAGCCGGAGAGCCTAGTTACTTGTTTGTAACCCATTATAAATTTAGCACCCACCACCAGGTTCCAGCTTTCAGTCACAATTAGAATCTTTCCGTTAACGCATCACCATTGGAGGCGGAAAGCTGCTAAAGAATGCTTAGATCATTCACAAGGACTTCCTGTTGGCAAAAGCAGTACAGAAAACACCGAACGCACTCCCACCAAGCAATGTTTGGAGAGGAATATATGACAGCAAGTCCCAATCCATCCAGTCTCACTGATCTCTGGTCAACATGCCAGAAAAGCGGGTGAGTGAATTATTTTAGATACAACACTATCCACATAAAAAGGCATCACTATTATTCCTTAAGGCCATTTGCTGGGACCAAATACCAGAATGAACTCGGGAGCGCTTTTCTCC